GGAAAGATTTTGATAGTGTATTGAGAGTTATTGTTGCCTAGAATATCTTCTCTCCTGAGACTTGTAGGTGTTAAGCACCCTGTTGCTTGCAATTTTTAATGTGAAATACCATGAAAAAAATGGCATGTAGCTCACCTAAATTCTGTATTATTTCTACTTCTGATCTCTACGGTGGGTTTACAAACAACTTAAGTTATGGCACAAGCTGTAGGCATTCCTAAACATTGTTTTATATTTAATTTTTAATGCTGATAGTAACTATAACAGCTAAATGACAAGCTCACAAACTCCTTCTACTAACACGCCTGTGAAGCAGCAAGACAAAAAAATCTTATATTTTAACCCCAGACTCTAGAAGTTGCCATTAAGAAATTGATTTTCTTCTCTTTTTCTTAAGTGAGTACTTCAGAGTTTGCTGGAGCATTTTTACCTTCATATCCTTATAAAGAAGCAAGTTTCCTTCCTGTAACACAAAATAACGATCTTGAAATTTGTTTCCAGACAATAGTTTTGATGGTTCTTCTTTGTACTTCAGATTGCCTGCTTTTATGCTCCCTTTCTCATTTTTATCTACCAAGAAAAAAAAAGAAAAACTTATTAGAAGATTTTACAAGAGTAGAAGCTCATAGTTTTAAAGTATTATTGTTCATCAAAAAACTAAAATTACAATTCCACTGATTCGGTATGATGTTATATATCTACAAATAATGAAATTAAATATATATTATGGAAATATATAACTACATATCACATTTAAATATATATTATACTAATATATATTAGACATTCATGAGGAAATATTGAAACCATTATAATTTTGGTAACATGAATAGAATCTACCAACACAGTTTAATTAAAAGAATATTTTCAGCATAAAATGTTCAGTTAAGTCCAAAAGTATGACATGGATACTTTTAATCTCTGTGCTGCAAAGATGCAAAGAGTTTATTTTAAGCATTGTTTTATTATAACAAGATCCAGTTAGAAAGTAGTTTTAGAAATTAAAGCACCATCACCATGTAAAAGTTCATTAAAATGGGAATTCCATTTTCAAGAAAAGATTTTGTAACACATGAGATTATTTTGCCATGTAGAGTTTGCCAACATCAATAATATAAGTTTGCAATATGGCAGAGATTTTCCTTTTCAAACCACTAAGAAAAACAGTGTGTCTTACTATATATGATTTTAATTATTTTAAAACAAACAGAAAATGTAAAGTCAGTCAAAAGCCACTGAGTCTAGACTAAGGTTGTACTGAATGGAACTGATGCAAATGAGTTTGATGAGTTTGGAGAAAAATGGATGCAAAATTTAGGAGACAGGAAGGAGTGAAAATCAAGTACCTTCCCTTTACATATTACTACATTTTGTAAATTGACACTAGCCTAATCCTCATGTGCTTCTCAGAGCAGTGACTCACATACACCTTATGACACATTCCCTTTTCTGATTGTACCTCAGCACATCAAGTGAGCTGATGTGAGTTCATAGATCAAGTTTTTAATGAAGTAGGCAATTTCTCTCCATTCATGATCTGCTATTGCACATTTAGAGACAGAGAAACTCAAACATAAAAGTCATGAATAGCACACTTGTTCAGGTTGGTTCCTATTTGTGAAATATGCTTTTACAGGAATAAAGGATGATGAGAGGAGACTATTACTTTCAGAAGAATAAGCATAATAGCATAACTTTTACTTTTTGAAATCAAGAGAAAAGATATATATATATATATATAGATGGAAAGACTAATACCTCTGCATATGGGAAAGAGAGGAAAAGATTACATATTTGAATAAGCCATTAATAAATAAGATGGACTTTAAACCAGGCATCATGTGTCACCATCACATGTTTTACAGTGATAGCATACAGGATTTCAACTGCTTGAAAACAAGATAGTAAGTCTTGGACATCTAAACTTCCATTTCCCTCAAAGCAGATACTACATATTACACAGGAGACTTAAATCCAGGTATTATGTGGAAAAAAAAACCATAACAGAACATTCTCAAGCTTCATAGCAGATGTTTCCAAACTGAACTGATTACAGAATTTCTGTACACTTTTATGCTCCAATGGCAGAGCTTATAGTTTGTAGAAGCAAAACCATCCATAACTTCTATATTTCAGGAGGAAGTCAGCACAACCCTCAGTAAATCAGTAACTTTTATGAAGTAGCACTAATTTAGATGTTCTGGGACACTTTACTCCAATGAAACAGCTATAAAACTACTGTCATCCTCACGTCTCCATGGAAAATAGCTAAGTTTACAAAGAAAAGTTACATACCATTGTAGATGTTCATCATGTCTGCTGTTAGAAATCTCTTTATTATTAGATATGCAGTGCCAGGCTCTGGTAGTGAACTCCAGTGAAGAACTTGTTCTAGTACATTCTCTGTATAATGCAGTGGACGTTCTGGAAAATGCCAGAGAAACATAAAAAAAAATTCCTAAATTAAAATAAAAGACAAAACCCCTCAAGCTTGGAGGCCCTTACAAGTTATATATGTCTGTACACAACACTGTCTCGTTGACTTTGAGCTACAGTAGGAAAGCACTGCTTTTAAAATAAGACAATTAGGCACTTTATTGACCTTCTGCATCAATAACTTTGCTGTCAGGGTCTGAACAGGTAATGAATATCAGATTAAACAAGCAGTAGCCAAATATTCAGGGACTCTTGTATTTAGTTGTTTTTTTTTAATGTAAAGACACTAAAGCACTATTTCAAACTAAATACAAAAAGTCAGGAACTATCACAGGGTATACCTAAATATGATCAAACAGAACAAAAGCTGCAGCTATACTGTGCCTTATTGGCCTAAGCTCACTTAGGAAATGAAACATCATAGCTAAGAATTCTCAGTAGTCCAAGAAACAAAGAATTTGGAGCTATCACAGTGAAAAAAGCACCTCTGACTGGTATACCTTATACTGGTTGTTAACAATCAAAGCAGACTGAAACAGACTCCTGGTTTCATTACATTTCTGTTACTACAAGGGAGAAGCAGATGGTCTTACTAGGTCTTCTCCCTGGTGCTGTGGTGAGGGAATTTCCAGACTTGCATCTCTACATTTCAACCTCACACAATAAGTACAGCAAGACTAGCTGTAGCGATAACAAAGTCCAGCTAGTACTCCATACAAATCCCAGTTCATATACCAAATGAAGATAGGGAAGATCTTGCAAATAGTCCCTAAATCTGCATTACCAGATCCAGCAGAAATCTGAGTGTGACACGTACTGCAACAACAGCCTGAAGCAACATTGATGTGGATGTGGGGAGACCACACACACTTACACCCCTGAAGGCTTTCAACAACAACAGCCTGAAGCAACATTGATGTAGATGTGGGGAGACCACACACACACCCCTGAAGGCTTTCACCTGCTCAGCAGCAAGCACCTAGCACAATTCATGAAAACACAAAAGCCTTAACAATGGCTTCACGGGATACAATTTAGAGCACTCAGTCCAAATGTCATTTTATCTCCAAAGAGAGATTTTCCCAAAATATCCAAGTTCCCATTTGCATCTCAATTTATGTGGGTCAGGCCTTGCAAAGAACTGGGTACAGCTTCTGGAAAGTCATACCTGTGTGACTGTCATGTTGGGTCATGCAGTCTAGCCCTGTGTTCCTTGAGTACTGAAGGGAAAAAAGTGTGCTGCCATAGTCTCATTTTTCATTTCTGCTCTGGTAGATGAATATGAAATGTCAACAGCTGCTTTGGGACTGTCCAGCACTACACTCCAGCAGAACATATTTTCCTGAACACCTGAACACTAGAGTTTCAGAAAGCAGCAGCCACAAATAACACACTGAAGTGACAGAAAAAACTACCACTGATTTGGGATGCAAAAAAACTACTCAACCTGTAGACTTGTGACATCACCTATATAAAGATTTTATTATTCAGACATGACTCCAAAGAAGCCTAACAAAAATATAATTCTGTAGACAGCAGCTCAAATCCTTTCTTATAACCCCATTTCTTCTGCTGCTTTAAGTTTTGGGAAACTGGTGTGATGTGATAAAGCTAAAACAACTCGATGCATTTGTACAAGAGAGAAAATTCACTTTAAGGAGAAGAACTTTACAAATCAAAGGCAGGAGACTGGCAAATCACCACATCTTCCCATGGTAAACACCTATTGTGTTATTTATAGCTACATTTAAGACGATCTGTCATCATGGATTACACGGTACATAAATCATCATGCTGAAAAGCATTAGCTATTTTACTGGTAACACACCTCATTTACAAACTATCCATCAATCACATATTCCTAAAAAAATATACACTATTTTTTAAAAGCATATTGTATTGAATATTCTGCATTAGGTTAGATAAAATCATCAATTATTTCAAATTTTCTATATGCAAATAATGTAGTTGATTTTTTAATAGTGCAATTTTAGTATTTTGAACAGCAAGCAGTCAACACATACATCCAATTACCCTCTCTTTTACTTAGGTCATCATATGCTGGTAAATATCCAAAACCAGTCAGTTTCACCTTAAACAACATTAACTATCAGGAGAAAATTACTTTCTAGAAAATATGATTCTAATTTTCTTGCCTTCTCAGGGTTCGTTTTCAGGGCAGTGTATTTTAAAAAGTGAAATAAGTCTTAGAAAACTTCAGGACTGAGTGCAACAAACGGAATATCACCATGCACTAGACAGGTATCAGACTATGGCAAAAACACAAGCAAAAATTACCTTTTGTCAGAAAGGCACTGCAAACATTAACGTACATTTGAAACAAATATGCAAACTTTGTTTCCATCCTTATGTGTCAGAATCTCAACTCATTTGTAAATGCCTCAGCTTATGTGATATTCAATAGTGCTTGTTAAATGATGCTAGTAGAATCAACTTGCAGCAGCAAGTAGTCTTTTAGTGCTAGTAGAATCAACTTGCAGCAGCAAATACTCAAGTAGTCTTTTACTTCATTAGTATCACATTTGGACCAAAAACTCTATAGAATTATTTTCCTCTGTGTTCCAGCCCTTTGAAAATCTGCTATATTCAGACATAGCACCACAGGAGTCTTCCTGAGTGTCTCTCTACATGCATTATTTTTATTTTTAAACAATAATTTGCTTTGCCTGTTCTGATGCACTGAGCCTTCCAGAAAAGGGTCCACGGAGAAAACATTTCATCAAACCGTCTCTAATGACTGAAGGCAGGTGCTGGATTAGAACTTAATTTAGTTTGCTTTTCCTTGGTTGTTTTGGTTTTAAAACACTGGTATGCCATTTCTACTTTGTGTTGGAAACTCTTGTTTCAATAATCCCTTGCCAATATTTACTGTGCTATGCAGGGCCTGTAGTGTCTCACTCTAAGCTTAATTTTGCCAGACTCCCAAAGTCATTAGCTCAGACAACATTTCTATCCAGCACTAAAATATTAGTTATGGCACCCAAATACCTCAAGGTGATGTTGTGGGGTCTCTATCTTTCTATTTGTTTTTATTTCTTTTGGCCATATCTAGTTTAGTTTTCATTTGCCTGTAAGCATTATATATCAAGTTTAAGAAAATAGAATTCCATCTTCAAATTTTTCCATGACTCAGTCAAAAGAAATCGAATTTCTAGTGTACTTGCAGGAATTATCAGGACTCTTCTAAAGATAACAGATGCTAACATTATTTGTCAGTTGCCGCCCACATCAGTGAATCTGAAAATGAACTCTATATTATGACTCTACACAGCATCACCAACAGACTACAAGATGTGAAGTGGATTCAAGGTAATTTATTTTAAGTTAAAAGGGACAATAAACTTCCATTCTAGTTGTTGAAACTGCCACGGTCAAGACTGAGTATATAAGTAATACTAGCAAATCTGAAGAGATTATTGGAAGCACAGTCTGAAAATCAAGTGCAACAAAACTATTCAAAGAATATTGGAATATTTAGTAATCTTACTTTTCTCTACTTTCTCAGGCTTTTTTTTTCTTGAAAATAGGTATCTTCACTACAGAAATAAACCAGTCCATAGTTCCCTTCTGTAACATGAGACTAGTAAGAGCAGCAATTTACTATGAAGTGCAAATGGACATTGTTGGTTTTTGAATTCCTCAAAACCAGATGACATTACTGAAGATTTATCAAAATACAATGTTTGAATTAACAAAACTCTACTACTTTATGTAAAGTACCTGTAATAATAAAATGCAAGCTCCAGCACATATAAAGCACAATTCATCACATGACAACAATTCATCACATTACTTCTGGCAAAGTGTAGAATGAAATCATGTAGATGCCACAGCAACAAAATGTAAAGCATTGGTATGAAGGCTAAATTTTGTTTTGTTTCTATAAAGTCTTTAACTAAGCTTTTGATGATGTTAAGTATTGAAAACTTAAAATAATAAGTTGATTAACATGCATAAAATTTAAGTGTCACTAACCTAGTTCTCCATTTTCAAGTACTTCAAACACAGCCCAGATATCATCTTTGTTGGGAGTAATGTTTTTGATTCCTAAAACATCATTAGTTAATTCTTCTGCTTCCATCAAAGGTGATACCTGCAATACAAGTTGAGTCAGTTCATAATACATTTCAGCTACTGATTTCAGATACATTTTTTCAAAG